ACAGATCGGTGACCGCCTGGTAAATGAAAACTGCTTGGACAGCTTTATAGACATGAAAGTGGTTAGTTCATCAGGATTTCTGGATCACATGGTTTGTATAATCTCCTTTCAGATCACTTGAGCACAATATTCTTCTATGAATATGATATATTTTCCAATGAACTGCATAGTCATTTACAAAAATGAATTACTTATACAATATTTTTAAGCACAAAAATGTCGGTGAACATAATTGTAGAGCTCTCGCCAGCTGATTGAATATAAATGCACTTAAAACACACTCCTAACACCTTCTTCATAACTAATCTTAAGACGAGAACTATGAATGATGTACGGAATGAAGTATTGTAAAATCGAATCGTTCCATACATTTCGGTCCTTTCTCGAGGAAAATGTCTTGAATGAAGTAGCTACTGGAGGGTGGAGAAGATAGAATTAGTTAACAGCTGGAGATAGGAAGACAAAGGGACAATGCGAAGGGAACATCACCCCCGGAAGATAAGGGTAGTGTGGAAGGACAAAGGCTTTCCTTGCTCATCCTACCCAAGACCAGATGGATCAACTCCGGATTAGCCCAAACACTTGAGCACATTTCCGAACTAACGGAAAATAAATAAAAGGATAGCTAGGCCACCTGAAAAGGATTCTCTTATCACCTTACATTTCCGATACTGTAACCTTAATGGATTTTTATAATCTTATGCATCATTCTTCTGAAAAGAGCCTAATATAGTCTTGACATTTTTCATACATTACTCAATGGCTATTCTTAAAAAAATATTCAGAGTGCTCCTTTGCTTATTAAATAATAAATATATTACACCCGAAACCGAAGGAATGATATTTTTATAGTGGTTACACAAGACATAAGTTATCGCTATCATACCAAAATTGTTGGCGGGTTAAAAATATTTAAGTAAATATAAATTTAAGGAAATTCACGAATATTAAAAAGTAATTGGTTGCTACTAGGCAAACTGAAAAATAAATAAATTAACAAAACATAGAAATGGATATTTTTTTAAAAAATTCTAAGCTTTGCTCAAAACGTCAACTAAAACACACATACACACAAAAAAGAGTTTGATATCTTTTATAAAAATAGAAAACTGTGTACAGAAATGGGTAATTTAAATTGAAGAGAATTGGTAAGAGTAGTGCCCTTGCGGCTGTTACTGATTTAACAGTTTCTGTGTATGACTAACCATTATTTTTCCTTTAGTTAATAATCGAATTTAGTTAACAATATGAGTATTTATGTAATGTTATATTTTATATATTTTTTATTATATGTACAATATGAAATAATGAATTCTTTGAAATAAACAAAATTAAAGTGGCTGATTTAAATGACCTAAGCTTCAAAACGTGAAAATGTTCTCTCATATATTAGGGACGATCAAATTGTTAGTTAATATTGATGGAATTTCAAAAAATAACATGAAGATAAAAAGTTATTTTTGTTTATTAAAAAATCAGAATTATTTTACAAAATATAATTTTGTTTTCAATTTTGAATATTTTAGCGCTTAATCTTTCTTACCTTTAAGTTTATGGATGATTTTTTATTTTTTAATAAATATTGTGTAAGGGCTAAAATGACCCTCAGTGGTTGAGAAGCCCCCACTGTACAAAATAAATAAGAGACGAGGAAATGAAAACGACTCTATTTTCAAAAATAACTTTATAAATTACACAATATCAAAAATTATCCATGTAATTAACTTGTTTTCATTTCAATGAAGAAATGAATCGACAAAACTAAATTCTAAATTTTCACTACCTTACACGATAATTCGGAACGTCATTAGTGCAATTCCGAATGACCGTGTAGGGTCCGCTGTATGTTACTCACTAGAATTCAAATTTTTGACTAGTGAGGGAATGGAACAAAACTCTGAAACACTCTTTAATATGCTCTTTACTGTTTTACATCTTTAAAATTTCAGATAGAAGAACTTTCGAGTCTTCAAATCCTGCTTTGTCAATCTCGAAAATATTGAAACCAAATTATTCATAAAAATCAACACATTTATTCATAAAAAATCTCATATAATTTTGCCGAAGAAGTCGAAAGACCGAGAGGATTTCCCTAGAGAAGTGATCCACATAATAACAATAAAACAATTCATGACTTAATAGAAATAGAAAGTTCCTGGACTTAGCTATGTTTATGAAGCTTGGTCTTAAACTTTTTCTTCTTTATTCAACCTGACTTCTTTTTTAATGGCATGAATTTTATTACATTTAGAATTAAACAAGCGAAGAGTGTTTTATTGTTTTAGGAGAACCTGTAAATACCGAGGCTGTGGGGTTGGTCACATTTCGGTGGTTTTAACAGCTGTTTTAAATTACTTTTAGCGTTAAGAGACTTGGAGTGAGCAGTGAAAGGGTTTTAAAGAAGGAATAAAAAAAAAAAAAAGTATAAGGCTATTAACATAATAATAGTAAAAAGGGCAATTTTCCAGTTTACGACGGATGTGAAACCGTCCAATAAAAATAAAATAAAAAGGAACCCTTAATTCGGCTATAAAAGAGCTAATGATTTTTCGTTTCCAAACAAAAGCTTTGATAAGATTAAAACCGACTTCTTAACTAAATAATTTACGCCTAAGGCTCAATATTTGAAAATTAAAGGATTGAACGGATTTTAGATATGTAGATAATTTTGAAGACCGGTAAGTTAGTTATGAAAAACGAATATCTATCAAAACATGAATCATTATTTTATCGGAGGGACAGATATTACAACCCCAAAGTTGTAAACATTTGTGAAAATTATATTGTGTCATTTCATCAAATTATATTTATATTTAATATTTGTTTATTTATTATGAATATTGTAGCCAATTCTGTCATCCGAAAACAAATAAAAATATTCATTTATCCATAAAATTTACAAGTATTTTCTTCGTTTTTCATTCATTTGTTTAATAGATAAATAATTAAATTGATTTATTTAAATATTTTAAATGTATAAACCATATAATATTGTTAGACAGTAGACAAATCGTGAGTGGCCATAGCTTGAAACAATACCTAATTCAATAACAGTAGAGTTGGATGTTTTTTTTCATTGTTAATTCTTTATTTCTTTGTAATATTTTTGATGAACGCGAAAATGAAAATGAACATTATAGTTATTTCTTTTTTATAATTACCTCTCAGAACGACGAAGTTCTATTGAACTCAATTATTGTACTTTATTTATTTATTATTCATTGAAAAAAAAACAATGTGTTAGTTCATAATCTTAACCTGTCGTAATTGTGTTTCATTATATTTTATTTCATGCACATGCAAGGTGTTAAGAAGATATAAATAATTATAATTTTTGAAACTAGACAGGTAAAAAATAAAAAGAATTAATTTAATGAAAGCTTAGAAGGAATTGATTTAAATTTAAAGGAAACATGACTAATTAATTATATAGATTATGTTAGCACTAATTAATAAATATTCACAAATAATGATAAGATTCACAAAGTTTTATGAAAAGGTAGAAGATAAGTAAAAATCTGTGAAAAGGAAATTTAGGGATGAAGTGCCTACTGAATTACTTTAACAAGTTTTGTCTCTCTCTCGCTTTTAAATAACATACGAATAAATTTATCTTCAAGAACATTTTTCATTGGTCGTTTCATCTATGTAATAATATTTATAAAAGAGGATGTCATCGAATTAGAAATGATGACATAATTTAACAAGTGCAGTTAATGGGTGAGGAAACTAAAGGATTATAATTTTTTTTTTTTGACATTTGAGAATGCCATGATAAAGCCAGCTGATATATGGCTGTGACATCTGGATACCAACAAGTCCACTAGAAAGAAAAATTAAGTCTTTAAAGAAAAAAATTCTCTGCAGCAAAACATGAGGGATTTTATCTCAGATGTTCTGCGAGCTACACAAAATAGTATGAACCCGATCTCTGTATCTAATTAGAACTAAAGATATAAAATAAAAATGAGGTGTTTTTCTAAATTTCTAGCTAAAAGACTAATTAAATCCAAAACCCAAGCGATGTGGTTTGGCAGGGCAGTAATTCATCTTTCCAACGGTTGTACAGAGGTTGAATTTGGATGAAATCTTGAAAGGTTGTGAATGCTTTAGTTAACAGCCGAAAAAACAGTATTGGAGTATTGAGTTTCGCCAAATCTTGAAAATCAAATATTGAAATCGTACTCCGCAGAAAAACCGCAGAGATGAGAGTACTAACGCATGAAGAAGAACCAATAAAGAATTTCTTATAGAAACTGGCCAATATATATCTTATGGTATGAAGGCAAGGAGGTTCAGATGGACAGGATATGTAGTTCGTAGTGATCCATAAGAAAGTCTCTGCACAACAATGGATACCTCAATAGTTGATATAATACCACGTGAGAGGTAGAAAACAGATGGATATAATGAATAAAAATTAAAAACGATGTTTCAGAGCTGCATGCCGAAAACTGAAAACCAGCAGCCCGAGAAAAGCATACATGGAGAAAACTGGATCGGTTGAGCCAATGATCCTCAAGATCTTTAAAGTCAAAAGAAAAAGAAAAAAATGAAATCTTTGAAATGCTGCCCATTTCTGTTCTCATCCAGTTCTCAGTCTGGTAGAGTTTGCATACAATTTTGGATTTTCCTTTAACAAAGTAATAAAAGGTGTGAACTTTTTTATGTCAAGTTTTAAAAATCATCATATTCTTTAACATATGATTAATTTCCTCATTACGTTTCCTTAAAATGAAAGTGTACATACTTTGTTTTCAACCTGGAAATTATTTTGAACACAGAAGTAATCTTTAATAATAATTTGTAATTATAGCTTGTGCATGTGTTGAGCAATATTTTTGGGCTCAAAGATAATTAAATATTTCATACATTCAATATCGGTTTTTCTCTCATAAAAAGTTGAAGAGAAACTAGTACACTTTATAGCCAAATGTTCAACTGTAGTGATTTTATTTATTTTTTTAAATATTATTTGAAGGGCAGTTCCTCCGACTCACCGGACTGCAGACACTTGAAGGAGTGGTCGACTTGCAGCCTCTCCCCCTGAAGGCAGGCCGCCCTGTGGAGGCTGCAGTGGTTCTGGTACAGCTTGCCGTCGGTGCCGCAAACCGGGCTCCGGTGTTTCGGGCAGTCCTCGACGCAAACGCATCTAGCGATTCCTGCACGTACCTTGCATTCCTGTCCTTTGGCGCAGTAGTGCACCAGGCAAGGATCTGAAACAGGAAATAACCTTTTTATGAATGAAGGAAGACTTTATATGGATAATTTGTTTAAATAATAGGGTGTATAATAAAAAAAAAAATGACCGTTTTATCAAATTCAAGATTTCAAAGGACTGTAAATATTTTAATCCTATTTAATACTTACCAATAATCTCTGCAGAGCATTCTCTAAGCTTGTTTAATCCCATTGGACTTCTTCAAAAAAAAAACCTCAGTTTAGTTATTTGTTAGAAAGAAGAAACATGACAATGTCATACGAAATTCTCGTAATTTTAAGTCAGTACAAGAAAAAAAAATTCATAGCCACTAAAGAAACTCGTGAAATTATTAAATATTAAGGAGGAAGCTGTCGTTGACCAGCGCACTCCGCGGCGTTGGTTTAAAAAATTTAGCAGTAGAGCTACGACGTTGGAAGAAGTGCTCCAGGCGACAATTAATGAATATTGATGAGGTTCTGCAGAAAGCTGTTGTGTCTAATCCGTCCACCACACGTATTCGCGAACTTGCCAGGGAGCGTGTTGTGTCGAAAGGTAATGTTAATCGCCATTTAGTCTCCATAGGAAAGGTGAGAAAGAGAAGTAGACTGGGCTCTCATGAACATACTTCTCAGCAATCATCTAAGAGGTTAGAAATTCGTGGTAATTGATAGAAAAACCCTTACCTGAAAAACTCCTGCCTCATCCACCATATAGTACAAATCTTGCACCATCGGATTACTACTTATTTAGAATCATGGTCCATTTTCTTCAAGGGAAAAAATGTATAAGTTTGCTGAAGTTGAAATTGCGGTCCAAGAGCTCTTTGACAGCCATCCCAAAGAATGGTATGTGGGTGGAATCGAGCAGTTGGCTAGCGGATGGCTAATGATGGTAGATAACAATGGACAATATTTTGAGTATTAATTTTATTTTATATCAAAGAAATAATAATACAAATATTTTGTTGAAAAACGGTCATTTTTTTTTTACACACCCTATTAAGTTAAACGAAATGGACGTACTACTGAATTAAAAACAAAAAATAGATATGACTATTGTAGAAGACTGAAAAGTATTCTTCTGTTAAAACATTTTACCTTTTTTTTTAATAATTCTTTAATCGTTCTTCTTGGACTGGTTCTATTATGTCACTGATGAGGCTTTCTTTTCCTTTCCATAGTCCGTTATTCTTCAAGATTTCTCATCTACGCTCTTTACACTTCTGACATCCCCTGTTACTTTTCGCTCGTTATCTTACCAGTTTACATTATTTACATAAAAATCCTATTATTGTGCCTCTAGTCTTATAAATATTCATATTTAATGTGGACTGGTAGTTTCAAAAATGAGAGAAAGCTCATGGTTTGCAAAAAAGGTCAAAATCAACCGACACAAGCATAAAACGTTTAGCTACATTCCCCTCCATAACGATTTCAAAATTATCAAAAGGATTATGTTCATTTATATGATTTTCACGTCATAATCAGTTATAACCAATTAGATGTAAATATTTGATCATTACCTGTTTTTTCTCTTTTCCTCTTAATTTTATTTTATTTTTTTTTTGTTATAAATTATTCACAGGTGTAGACCTACGAGATGTATGGAGTTATCCTCATATTACTCCGACCTTACATCACAATAAGTGTAAGTCGAATAAACATTAGCTTGATGACGTATAGCTTTCCGACTTTGAATCATAAGACAAATACATTATTAGCCGATATATGAAAATAATATAAAAAGTTCTTAAATTTTGCTAAGCAGGTAAATAAACGATATCCGAGTTAATTTGACTATTGATTAGCTAGTGGAGTAAGTGGAGATGATAATGGAGTCTTTCGTCAGCGTAGATAGGCCCTTAGGGAGGGAATTAGGCGAAGGGATAATTAGGGGGATGGGTGTGGCTGGGTCTTTCTTATGCCCCCTACATGCCCCCTCCCACCTACATCCTACCAACCCCTACATGTTAGCTTAGCTCTGTTTTTGTACTTCAACCGCTTCCCATCAGAGCTGCACCTCTCCTCACTACTTCTGTCTGTTTTTTTTTCCCCTCCAGCTCGGCTGAAATTGAGTCTTTTAGCCAGTATTTTTTTTAACCTTAACTACAAACGAGTTTTGCTTAGGGTTTGGGGAAGCATGAGCCACAACAGGCTGATCCTACTTATTTGTACGCGTTTAAATGTAACTAAAGTAAGAAGAAACTTGTTGGCAAGTATATTAAGGTAATCATATGATAATTATATGTGATGCTGATAATAATTAGTATGATGCCCGTTTTAATATGCAATTTTTTTGTAAATTGGAACCCATTTCATCCAGTAGGTCTATGATTATTATAGTTATTTAATAATTTACTAAATACGCTGCACATGCAAGTTGGTTGTGCCAAAGAGGGGTTTTCGTTTAAATATCCCGCGTTACAGCTAGTGGTGGGGGTAGATCTAAAAGATAAAGATAAGACTTAATAGTCTGTGGGCCAGACCCCCTTACCGTGCACCCCACCCACATCTCTATAAATTGCATATCGTTGTGTTACTTGTAACTATTTATTAAAAAAAAACCAATGTTCCCACAAAAAAAAGTGAACGCACTGTCCCAAAATGGCGTCCAAACATGGCAGATGCTAACTAAAGTCAAAGTCGTCAATCCGCCATGTTTGGACGCCATTTTGGGGCAGTGCGTTCACTTTTTTTTGTGGGAACATTGGCTTTTTTTTAATAAATAGTTACAAGGAACACAACGATATGCAATTTATAGGGATGTGGGGAGGGGGGGGGTGCACGGTAAGGGGGTCTGGCCCACCATGTATAAGCTTTGAGAGAGACTCGAAGCCTCGAATCCACTACCTGACCAGCATTGAACCAGCATAGACCGACGGCGGAGGGCCTTCCAAGGTAAAAAAGATGTAGACTGGCACATAGACGTTAAGCTATTTTTTTGCACAATCACTAACTTACCAATCCCTTAAGATACAGTCCACTGCTTAAAAACTATAATGTTACCATGAAATTTAGAATGTTGCCTTATTGAAACTCATGAGAGTTATTTTGCCATAATTGTAAAAGTTGCCTAAACATTACTTAAACTTAATAATTATAAATAATTTTATCTTACTCTGTTCTGTGATGAGGGAGGGATTCTCATCATAGTCAACAAATGGTGGGGGTGCGTTCGCCTCTCTGTACGGCCTCCTCTGTGAAATAAAATGTTTTATTATATAATCAATAATATATAATGGTTTTCAAAACAAAAATTACAACAAATCGTAGCTCATCACTTTTTATTGATATCATACAAAAATGTAATGATTAGTGATTTTAATTCCTTTAGAGTCACTTGATTTGAATTAGTTTTCTATAAAAATAAATCATGAAAATTAACACAAATCAAGGCTTTTAACACTGTAAAAGTACAAAAATGAAAAGTGACTAATCTGATTCTTAAATGCAGTATATACTGTTCTGTCATTGCTACATGCAGTAAAAATTTCAATGTTGAAAATGCTGTCATTTTTAAACATGAATTTTCAAAAATGACCAAAAGGTGTGGTTACAGATGGAGGATTACCAGTTTGAAGGATCCTTTTTTTTCTTGGTTTCTCTCAAACATTCTGAGACCTATCAACTTTAGGAAAAGGCACATTGTCATTTTCCTACTAGCCAATTTAAAGATAACAAGCACTTATGGCATAGGAAGAGGAGTGGCTGAGGAAGGGTATGAGAAATGATGTCTCCAAGTGCTGGTTTCGGCAACATAACGACAGGAACACTTCCAATGGATCTAGAATGTGAGGATCTTGAGGAGGTAAAGAAGTACACCAATCTTGAGACCATAACCATAATTAAGAGCTACGAAAAAAACATTCAAGAAAAATCAGGTATACTCCCAGATCACTAACAGTATTCTCGGCCACCGTGAGGTCTATTTGCGACCAATATCGTTGTCTACGAATCTATTCTCACAAAGGACGGAGAAAGCTGGACAGACATTACTATCGCGTAACAGAAGCATAAATAAGATTCCTATATGTATATCTGTTAGGAAAACAAGGAGGAATCGCAATATAACAGTAATACCTGAGGTCAATACTACTTTGGAGTGTAGGAAACTCAAGAGGTGTGTTCGTGTCAGCTGCATTAACGAAAAGAGTGGCTATGGTTGATAAGAGATTCCTTGACTAGAAATGACATGGGAGGAAGATGAAGAAGTTGTCATGGTGATTAGTTAGGGAGGTAAAGTGGAGATTGAAAATGGACTTTGTAAAGGTTAACCTATTTCACTTTTAAATTTCGAATTTAATTGAATCGAATTGATACCTCAGCCAACTAATTGTAAGTCAAATACTAAATAATTTTAAAAACTGACATAATTTGTTAATATAAAATATCACTCACTTTCGAAAAGGCGAGGACTACAGTTGAGAGGCAGGAGACCAGTAGAAATCCTTCCAGGACCCTCATCTCTCCTGCAACAATGAAATTATCATTAAATATCAATGCGCACAATCCGAGGTTCATATAGATTGTTATTTATCTATGCTATAAATTAAAAAAAATTTAATTAGTTCATTATTTTTTTAATATAATGAATATTACAAGTTTCTTAATAAATAACATTTATTGACATTTTCGGACGAATGGATCGAATTTTTTACCATCGTAATTACGCTTTAATAATTTATTATCCTCACTCAATCTTATGACGAATTTGAGGAGTTTATTTCTTACATTCTGTATTACATACTTATAGTCGATATATATTTTAAAATATAATGTAATGCAGTAATTAAATAAGAAGCATTAAATGAACAAGCAGACAAAGCAGCCGAGAAGGCGAGAAAGAAATCTGACTGTTATAATTTACGAAATCCCAATAGAAGATATTTTACAACATATAAAGAAAGGATTGCGGATAATGTGCCATAACAGATGGCAACAAAAAGAAATAAAAAGCGACTGTTCCAAATGACCTGTAACCGACTCTCAAGGGAAGTAGAGACAGTCCTCAGCATGAATGAAAATTTTCATATGCCTATTTATTAAGAGGACTGTACCTACCGAAGTGCTAACATGTATTATTAATAAAACTAATTCGTTTTCGATGATTTTTATTTGGTTTTGTAGGAAATTTAATTATCTTTATATATATATATATATATATATATATATCAAAAAAATGTTATGAAGGAAAGAAAAAATTTTTGGGAGGAGTTTCACTTAGAACTGCTAGGAGTTTCACTTCAGTTCTAAGTGAAACTCCTAGCTGAACACACCTCCCTGAAGAAGACCTGCAAATTCGGGCCGTAACGTTGGCTTTTAATAAAAATAGTTTTACCACTATTTAGCCTATTTATGACCGCCACCGCGGAACATCTCCTTCCTTTATAATGCAACAGCCAAGTATTAAATATTCAATATTACATATTTTATGTATGAAAGGTGTAATTTGTTAATTATGCTCTAAAAGTTTTTTCCTGTATTTCATTTTCGAGAATGCACTATAAATATGAATGTTGAAAGGACTATAAGTAGAAGATTATAGGAATGTTTGAGCCGTTTTGGTTCTACAGTCTATAGAAAACAGGCATTTCTCGTATTGCGCAGTGAGAACCCAATTTGATATACATTCATCGCGCATTATTTATGTAATAGCTTAGACGATAACTAAACTACAAAGTAAGTAATTTTGCATTCACAATATTGATCTTCTTTATATTCTTTATCTTCTCCCATTTTATATTTTGGTAGTGTATAAGATGTGGCATTATAAGAGATTCATCAACGGAGCTGTAAGGTACAAAGAACAGTCCAACACATCATCAAAGACTGCCCAGTATTAAAGAATATAAGAAAAACATTGGATATGGCTCAGAGCCTAAAACTTGATTGACCATTAAAAAAGCCGTAGAAAAAACTTTGAAATTTTTAAAAAAGGTTAAAATTATACAGCAAAATATAATTAAAAGGTGTTGCCAATTGAATCAGCTGTGCATATGATATTTTCGGAAGGGATCAATGGGTCGTTATCCAGGGTTGAAGAATACAAGAGCTCAATGGAATGTTTTCTTTTATTATTATCCCCTATTCAAAGATGTTATACCCTCCTTTATTTTTCTGATCTTTTTAGGGATTGGGGGAGAATGGGTTGGATTCTTGACGAAAAGGAGACCCTCCTTGGAGGGGGGGGGGGGAGCAATCACCTTTCGATTGAATTGCTGGCCGTCACCAGGCTAGTCCGAATCCAAGCTAGCCTCTTTTTCGCCAATATCCTCCTCGCCCAGCCTTCTCATATTGCCCCAAATGTTTTCACGTTTCTCTCCTTTTACCGATATTGGGCGACTCCATCGTTTAATAATTTGAACGATGGGATAGCTCAATAAAATTCAAATCACAAAATTAAATATGAATTTTTCTGTGGAAGTTCTATATTAATTTTATTATCTTCATATCTGAAGCCCTTATTTATGTATGTTCTTTAGGAAAACTGTACAAAGAATAAAAATAATTTATATCCGTATTTATAGCCTAAAATATCCAACAAAACAAAAAAACAACAACAACAAAGTTTTGTGCTTTAGACCACACGATATAAGCGAAAGCTTCAACAAGACGAGATTAATAATTTGAAATATAACTTGTAAATAGTATTTCATTATAAAGAGGATAAAATTCTGAAGATTTTCCTCGCTTACAGTATGCAGGTCCGATTTTTAGTTTCCAAGATATTTTAATCCATATCTTACATAAAACTCGTTATCATTTAGTTTTCGACACTATTTTCATCCTTAACAACTCTCTGATACGGTGTCTGGTTAAAATACAATTTTGAATAATAGCCCATTACAGAGAGGATGAAATGCTGAACAATTCCCTCACTTACAGTGTCCAATTAAAATTTTTAGTTACTGAGCTACTTTAATCCACATCTTCAATAAAACTCGTTATAATTTGGTTTTCGACACTATTTTTTCCTCTTTTCGCCTCTCTAACACTGTGTCGCATTAAAATACAATTTTCAATAATAACCGTGCAAAAACACTTCAATTAGTCGACTACAGCAGACTTTACCTGAGCGTTACAATTCGGTGATCTGACTGCTTAATCTAATTCACTCTCCACGGAAAAGTGTAAAATGCGCCTAAAGAAGTTATCACTTAAAAAAAAATCATACAATAAGTAGATACAATTTATTTTACATAAGGTAAATGTACCGGCAGTAGACATTTTGAGAGGAATTTTCAACATCAGTGTTAACGCCGCATACACTCATATCTTCATTTTTATTATTATTTTATCTCAACATTTTTACCCTTTTTGAATGTTCATTGAATAAATGTTCATTTATTTTTTGGTAAAAAGCTGAGTGTCCCTGTGCTGAGCGGATAGTGTCCCTAAAATATATCTCAGTGTATATTGTTTATATATTTGGCTTCGTTTTCTATGTATTATCACATTTGTATATACACACCAGGCCGGCAGTAATACTGAATCTTAAGGTATAAACACAAATACTGCAACAAGACTGCCGGGAAATCAGTCAGGAGCGAGCTTTCATAGACGCAGGGTCTATTTATTTGGTCATCAGACCCCCCTCCCCACCTCACCAGCCGCTTCTGTCTCACCTCATCAGGCACCAGCCTAGTGCCATTTTCTGATGACAGTTGTTGAGCCCACCGGCAGTCATCGATCGAAATCCTCGAGATTCTCCACTATCGACTGCTTGACATTGTATCCAGGTAACCTCTTTGGAAGTAGAGCCTTCAACTTGGATATTTTTCGTTTTCTTCTCTCACGTCACCAAAATACATTTTTAATTTAATTAAATATTTTTCTTTGCTAAAGTTATTTTTTTTTCTTGGATTTATTTTTCTTGGATGATTTTTTTTTAATTTTGGAAGTTTATTTTTATATATGTTTTATTTTGCTGGACAATTATTTTTTATTTACATTGAGTATTGTCTTTATGTTTTAAATCTTGTATGTATATATATATATATATATATATATATATATATATATATATATATATATATATATATATATATATATTCCACTATAATAAATTGTAAACGTTCAAAACGGGGATTCTTTATTTTCCATTATTGATTAATTGAATATTTTTATTTTATAATATTTGACGTGCATGGATTTTTCATGTTTTACAGGTCTCATTTTTTTCTCATAATATTTTACCTTTATTCCGTTCATTTTTAATTTTACTCGTATTTTTCCCACCTTTGAGGAAACTCACCGAGGAAGGTTTGTATTTTCGATTTTGAAATATCCCTGGCCCCAACAATTAGTATAAATCAAAGCTTGGTTCTTATTGTGGACCTTGGCAAATCGGTTTGATTTACTTAATTATAAATAGTAATAATTCATAATTATTTCTGAAAAACATTAAAAAAAATCCTGACAGAGTATATTACCATAGCAATAGACACAATGTTGGGGGCAATAGATTTTTTATATAATTAAAAAAAAACTAAGATATATTCTGCCCAGATTTAAAATATGAAATTAATGGTAAACTATTGATCAATGAATCAAAATTTCAAACTTATCTCCTAAATAAGTTTGATACGGAAATTTTTCTGAAACAAAGTCTAGCCTTGTTTCATTAAAAAAAATCAATTGGCAATTGTAGCATGAAGTTGATTGTAAAAATTGTAGCACTTGAAGTTGAAGCGCCGCTCTTCTATGTGTTTTAACTACGCATTCTTGTAGTATCTTCTGGTTGGGTGAAGGTAAATGAATTGAAAACTATCTATTACTAAACTAATTTAAACTAGTGTTCGCCCAATGCTCGAAATTCGATCATAACCATTAAAGATTTCAGGAAAACATATAATAAAATAAAAAATGAATTCAATTAACAAAAACAAAATTTCAATTTCAATTAATAATCGAGCTGAAGCTAGTTAAAATTATTTATAAGAAATAAAAAATTGACTCGTTCTAAAATATTTAATTTCCATTTTAATTTATAGGTATTATTATCACAATAATTTAACGTCATGATTAAGCAAGTAAAAAATAAATTAAAATAAGCGATTTCAATTTAGTTTAAATCAATTTTTTTTCTTGTCTGTAAACAATGTTGTTTTTGAGTGCTCTGTTTTTGTTTAGTACATAGCGTTGCCCATTGCCATTAGATATGTAAATTACAAAATTTTAAACGAACGTGCTCTACATGCTGCCACATATACTTACTTATCCATGCGAAATTACTGGACATTGAAATTCGAATGGAAGTATTGTGTCAGAAAATATTAAATTAATACTTGGAATTGAAATTCTTTTATTTAAAGTAGCTCCCGTTATTACTTCACTCTCATTCGTGATCCAATAACTAATGCTTGTGCAGTATTTAAGATAAGAATGAGTATAACTATAGAATTCATTTTTAAATTTAATTTATGAGTTAACGTTCCACTAACATTCAATGATATCATCTCTTCATATA